GAATCTGAGACAGTAAAATAGTCGCCAGTCCCACGGGACTCGGACCAGAGAATGACTGTGCTGGCGAGGATCAGCAACTATTATAAGCGACAAACCCGTCCTCTCGTCAGAGAGAGAGAGACCCACATAAAAAACTGCAACTGTCTGACAATAATAAAAATCTGGTCGTAAGCCCAGATGGGTGCTTTATTCAATGAGAGACTAGCCGACTAACCTTCGGTCATAACATAAAACTCAGACTCAGTTCTGGTGTCCGGAGATAGGGACTAGCTCTATCGATTGGGCCCAACTGACTAGGTTCCACCTGAAGACTCAATCTCCGAAAAGATACGTTTAAAGTAAAAACACGACGATGGATACTGACCAGAAACATAATAATTTTATTAATATACCACTGTCGCCACTGTCACAGGGGCACGAGGTAGCGTAGTTGGTTGGGGTACTATGCTACAAGCCGGAGTGTCGCGGGTTCAAGTCCCGATGAGGTCACTGGATTTTTTTCGATTGACCTAATCCTTCCAGCCGCACTATGGCCCTGGTGTCGACTTAGCCTCTGAGGGAAATGAGTACCAGGAATATTCTTGAGGGTAAAGGGCGGCCGGCGCGTAGGGCTGACAACCCTGTCGCCATCTATGATCAGATTATCTAGAAAATGTGGGAACCTCAACATCTCACAATCCTATGGGCCTCCTCGGCCTGTTGCAGGGATAACTTTACTTTTTACTTACTTACTTACCACAGTCACAAACGTTTAGATCTTATTTACACAATGCGTGTATAGCTGACGATGAAACCACAGCTCAATGTAGCAGACCATTAGGAACAGGCAGACGGAAAGACAGCATTAAATTCGGCTGAGAAAAGTGAGGCGTGGATTAAAACGCCTAAGGACTGAATCCGACGGCGGGATCTTGTACACGTGTGCTAAAGACTCTAGTTCAACAAAGTCAGAGAAAGGGAATTTTATAACTTTCCGTGTAAAACTCTACACAGAGTTAGCGATGCAGCATGCAACTTTCCAGGGGAAACTCTCACAGGTGTCGAGATTTAACCAGCAATGTGAAGGTAACCAAACGAAACACTCTACAGCAGGGATTTTCAGACTTTGTCGTACCGCGACTCACTACGCCTCTCCCCCAATGAACAAAGCTACTGATGCCATTAGGATTAAGAGAGAGAAGTACAGCACATTCATCTTTATCGGAGTCCGCAGTCTTCAGCTACGTTCTCCAGAAGAACTTGCTGAGTTACAAACAAACAACGTAATGTTAGTCCGCAAGAGAACTATACCGACGGAGCGACCGCAGCTTTTCGGCGAAGTTAGTGCCAATTTTAGCGGATAGAGGGTGTCACGTGGTCAGTGCAACGAATCCCCACGGCCGTTAATTTCGGTGTTCTAGACCGGAGCTGCGATTTCCTTGAAATAGCCCCTCAATTATGCTCACGATGCTGAGCGAACCCTGTTCCAGACCCACTACTTCTCATAAAATCTGGTAGCGGTGGGAAGCGAAGCCGGACCTCTGAATCTGTAGCCAGGAACTGTGACCACTAGACCACATAGGCGGTCTTACTGAGTTACTGAACCGCCAAAACAATGCGTGGATAAAACTACCGTATTTACGCATGTATAGGCCGCACATTTTTTGCCAAAAATTCAAGAGGAAAACTGGGGTGCGGCTTATATTCGAAATATTCGAAATCACATTTCATTTAAAAAAAATATATTCATAATTAGTAATACAGGGTGTTCTACTCCTGAAATAATATTCCAAGAAAATTATTTTTTCTATAATTTATGTCTGAAAATTGTGCTGCGGCCTATACATGAGTAAATACGGTATATCTTTAAACAATCGTTGAGAAGTCATGGGCGCCTCAAAGACTTTGTCACGATCTCTTGGACGGGGGAGGAAGTGGCAACTGACAGTTTAAGAAACCAGGTCTTACAGTGTTCATATATTCCCTGAATACCTTCTATTCTGCACGTCCGGACAGTGCTGATGAACATCAAATGTAGGTTCACGCAAGTTAAAAGCTATCAGGAGGTTGACGACCTACATCTACTGTAGCCTAGTTTCTATTCGCCCTGTTCGGATATTTCGGTGTTTCTCAACCGCTGTACCACGTAAAAAGTTCCCCCGAGAATTTCCTGTGTAGTCTAGTGTCATACCTCGAATACGAAATTTAACCGAAATCCTTCCACAGTTTAAATGTGAAACATGCTGACGGACAAACACGACCTCCCATTACGCGTTTATTTTATGCATATATGCATAAGGCATAGGTTTAATGCAATTGTCTATTTCCTTCAGTTTAGTTAAACGCAAAGTATTGGTGTGTGGGGGGGGGAATGGCAATGTCGAAATTCTAGTTAGAAATTCTATTTTACAACAAAGCCGAATTCCGGAAAGTCTTCAATGGCCCTTTCCCTACCTGCATGCATGCAGGTGAATATACTGGGAACACAGACGGTATGGCGTTATCATACGGCCCGGATATTCAGTTCAGGGCTCTCAAAGGAAACAGTAATAAGTTGTAGGCCGTGAAGTAGAGCCACTGCTGGGAAAGCGTGCAGTGGAACTAGCGGAAATATTTTGGAAAATGGGCATTCTGCAATAGGTATCTTTAGTACATTCAGCCTGTTGGTAGCACTCTTAGAGCTGTTGGATCGTTCTGCTCAACCAGAGATTCCTTGAAAAACTGACAGTTACTCAGTCGGTCAAGAAACTATTTGTCTTTAAGGAACAAAAAAAGTAAATGATCGTATTCACAAAAGTCATTTATCGTAGAGCCTTCTATGAGCTAGCTTAATCCGCACTTTCACATTCTATTTCTCAAAGTTTAACTTTAATATCATCCTCAGATCTATTTGTATATCTCTCACACAATTTTCGCTTTGGGGTATTCATGCTTCATCCCCTTTTGCGTGCTACATGTTCCGCCAATTTCATTCGCAGCGACATATTCATGACCGGCCTGGGAAGCCACTGAAGTGACATGACGAATGATCTGAAAGTGACGTAAACGTGTTTATAATACTGATGTGGGACAGCAGCGCCGTGACAAGTGCGCTCGTCTCGGTCCCTTGAAGAAGCATCAGTCATTCTGAATTAGCTGGATGTAGTCAACATCAGGAGAAAATATGAACACTGCCAAGCTAACATGTGTAATCATAACACCTATGTCATGATCAAATAACAAGTACTTGCTGCAATTAGGTAAAAGGGAAAAGGTCCGCTTATTCTTAAATAAGCATACGTCATGAACACGTGTAGCGTGCAAATAAACGCTATCACTTCCCGCTGACATTTCGGTGGGATTTTTCCCCTAGATTTTCCTCAACGTGTATACTGCTGAACTCAGCAAAACTAAAACCCAGATTACCATATTTTTCCTATTAAAGAATGAAAATTAACTACATGAAGCAAAGTAAGAAGCTACCAGTTGCTCAGCTATTCAAGAAATTCCCTATATTTTATTAACCCAAACGTGCACTGGTGTGTCCACAAGAGCCAGTCCATATCCAGTACCAGTACTTACAAATCCAAGTTTACTTCATTCACCCATACACGCTAAGTCTTCAAATTGCTCTCTTACTTTCAGGTTATGCGACTAAAATTTTGGATGAATTTCTCATCTCTCAAGCGTGCAACATGCCCTGCCCATATCGTAAATCTCGAATTGACCATCGCTGAAGTCTCTAATCACGCATTTTTTTCAACCTTCCGACACTTCCTCCATCCAAAGTCCAAATATTCTCCTCAGTACCGTGTTCTGAAACACCCTAATCCGCGTTCTGTCCTCAACAGTTTTGTAAATTCCTATCCTTACCTTTTTAGACAGCAGATGGGACCACATAAGCTTCCGTACCAAACGGTAGCAAATATTCCCCAAATTTAGCCTGATCCTAATTTCTTCCACATGTTAGCACTACTACAAAATGCTTTAACTCTGTCATAACTCTCAAATGATTTTATGGTCTATTTTTATTTTACGCTTCGGTTATGCATGTTGGTGACACACATAAACATACACTTCACTTGCGGCTAATTCAGCTTATATGGTTTTCTTAACGATATTACGTCATCGTTCAATAAGCTAGGTCAGACTTTCAACAGGAAGTTGCTGATTTTACCAGCATCACTATCGAATTCTGAGAACAAATATACAGAGAAAAATGATTTCTGTGCATATGTACCACTGCCTGCATATCAGAAAACTTTATCTCAAATTTCTGATCCCAACAGGGTAGATTTTAATCCACTTCAATGGGAAATATACAAATATGACAATTTAATGTATACTTCTATCTGTACACAAGAGGCGTAATGTAACACTGCATAAAGGCAACTTAAAAAATGAGAGACGTTGTAAGTAAATTCCAAACGTGTAACACTCTGAAGAAAGCAGTTCTTCTGGGATTTGGCACCGTGTATATGTGGTGTTAACCGACGTTTCGGAAGAACGTATCGCCTCCATCTTCAGGGTAGAAGAAAAATATAAGAATTCTGCAAGCGAAGAGACCGTGAGAACCGGTAAAAGCTAAAAAGCTAAAAGCTTTTACCGGTTCTCACGGTCTCTCCGCTTGCAGAATTCTTATATTTTTTCTTCTACCCTGAAGATGGAGGCGATACGTTCCTCCGAAACGTCGGTTAACACCACATATACACGGTGCCAAATCCCAGAAGACTGCTTTCTTCATAGTCACCGCCGTGAAAGCCTCAAATCTTACACGTGTAACACTCTCTTCCCATTTACAACTACACATTCGCAATTCAGGAGTGCCATTTAGCTTCGAGGTAAACAATGCATAGTTACTCATTATTAATCTTCGCCATAATGGTGCAGCAGCAGGACAAGTGTGACTTCCGTACTGTACACTTCCTTTGCTTTGCTTGGCCTGCTGCCACACGCCACGCACCCACGAAGTTACGGACTCAACAGGGGTCCCACGGCCTTCTTGCTGTTTTGTAACAAAGCCATATTGTACAAGTACTCACCTAACATTTGGTTGAAGATTTTATCGAAGTTCACTTCATTCTTCTTCTCCAGATATTTATGCATTACACTCCGCACACTGAAACAAAAGAAGAACTGGTAAACAGAAACGTATTAATCGTTCACCCACTGCAAAACTAACGCATTCAATGCAGAAACTGCCAACTGCAACACCGTCATAGTTCAAGGTACAGAATTTCCCTGCTTTCTATAAAACTGAACCTTATCATGTTCATAAAACATGTCAGTAAACTCTGTACTTAACAGATCCTCCCCTTTTTACCCTTACACTTTGGGGGACGGTCGCTGCCTTTGTCTCTGGTTCCGTTGTTGTGTTCTCAGTGCTCCCAAGGTGGAATGGGGTGTCCAAGCATAGCTTCAGTAAGAACACACAAATCTCCAAAATAAGCATTTAATAACAATCAATAACAAAATTAAAAATAAGTAGGACTTCAAGCACTGCTTTAGTACTTCTAATATGAAACAAATCTATGCCCTCGACTGCAACCCAAGAAAAGAAAGATATACAAAGGGTAACCGCAAGGAACCGTCTATGTAACCCAGATCTAGAAAATGATCAAACTCACGTATCACTGCGAGACTACCCAAGTCGCAATGTTACAATCATTACCCCGCCGCACAACACTAAATGGGACAACAGCGAGACCAAATAAATAACATAACACCCACAAAGCCCTCATTACAACATCCCCAATACTCGTAAGAATAACTTACATACCGTTGATATTTTGGAACAACGATAACAAATCAAAATCTGGCTCAGGAGGAAATTAAGTGACTCTGCTACCATTCAGTCCTGAACATTTTGTCTTTTCGTCTGCTGTCCAAAAACATAAAAATTAGAATATAAAAATCTATAGTTTTGCCTGTGGTTCTGTATGGGTGTGAAAGTTGGTCTCTGACATTAAGGGAGTAACACAGACTGAGGGTGTCTGAGAATACGGTGTTGAAGAGAATGCTTGGACCGAAGAGAGATGAAGTGACAGGAGGTTGGCGAAAACTGCATAATTAGGAGCTTCATAAGTTGTACTCTTCTCCAAGAATAAGGATGAGGATGAGGTGGGAAGGGCATGCAGCACGACTGGGGCAGACGAGGAATGTATATAGGATATTGGGTGGGAAAGCCAGAAGGAAAGAGACCACCTGGAAGACCAAGACGTAGGTTCCTGTTCTCGAACACCCTCAGTCTATGTTACTAAGGTTCTACACAGAATTTAATTTGGTTTGGTTTAAGTGCAGACGGTCAGTGAAACGATGGTACTGCTCTTGGAGCGAATAAGTACAGTGCGAGCTAGGCGAACAATGACAGGAGAGTAAAGTGAAAATATACAACTTGGTACGTTCACGTTAAAATTAAAATAACAGTAAGTGGACTTCGGAAGCGGCCTCCGTAGTCTAGAGGTAACGTTCCCACCTCATGACTCGTAGTACGCGGGTTCAAATACCCGGCGGAGGTCGTCGAATTTTTAAGGGCGGAAAAATTCAGGGAACTAGTCCTCCGGGAGGGACTTTAAGCCGTGGGTCCCGTGTCGTAGCTTTACGGCACGTAAAAGAATCTCATGTCTCCAAAGGAGGTCACTGAGCCAAATGACGTTTCCCACCCGACAGCAGTCTCTAATACCTCTGGTAGATGGGGAAAGCATTATAGATACCTCTCAGCTAGTAGAGCCGGTCTCGCTGGCTGGGCGGGACTGATGGTAACCACCAGTACCGGTAGGATATAGAGACTGGTAGAAATCATAGAGGGAAGCACAATGGACCAATACAGGTCTAAGTGCATGGGGAAACCCACCCTCTCCAATAACTAACTAAGTGGACTTCGGTGTCAGTAGTTCTGCCACTATCCGCATTGCCACGTGTGTATTCTGACGGCGTGACACACGCGTATGAAACTTCTATTGAATGGGCAGACGTCTGAACTGGAAAATAGTTTAACAAATGTTGCAGACTACAGGTACACACTACAGTACAACCGTCTTTCAATATCTTACAGATAGAAACCGAATATTGAAGCTCCGCAGAGAGGAAGTTCTGTGAGTGATGAAAAGAGCAACGGCCATACAAGATTATCGAAATCGAAATGCCAACCTCACAAAAGAAACAGGACACAAATATGTGATATTTTAATACATCTTGGAACCGACGCTGACCAGCGCACTACATCAAAAAAAATCCTAAGTAAAGTTCAACATTGTAAAAGGCCGTACCATAGCTCATGCGGTTAGTCGCTGGCTTCCCACTGTGGCGACCCGGTTCGATCCCACGTCAGGTCGTGTGGGATTTGTGGCGAACAAAGTGGCGCTGGGGCAGGTACTTCGGTTTCCCCTGTCAAATCTCATTCCACCGACTGTTTCACACTCATCATCATTAGATCATCATCTAAAAACCTGGGCTGGTACAATAGGCCAATGAGTGGCCGACGTACCAAGTGGATTCAGTCTCACCCCAACCCAAAAAACTAAACACTGTAAAACTGTTGAACGAATGGAAGATGAGCAGCTAAAGCGACATTTGAACTAGAACGCGCACATGCATTTCGCTAAGTGACGAAACAGCAGCAAATCATATCGATATAGCAGAGAATCGCGAGATTAGGCTAGATATGTCAGCTCTTCCTGCAAGACATGTAACAGCGGGGGGGGGCACGGCAGAGATTACGCATGCCTATGAATTTCTGGAGTACATCAGCTTCGTCACAGTTCATGGATGATATGCGCAAATCGTCTTTTCATCCGCTGGCAGTAGCCTCGCTAATCCGGAGTAATTGAAGGGGGAGGGGGGAAGGTCATCCGGATTGAAGCAAAAAGTTGCCCTAAAAGACAAAAAAATAACTTAGAACACAGTCAAATGGAAAATTAATGACGTAAGTAGTGCTGATGAAAATAAATAACAAAATATCACTGTAGATCCTTTATTTAAAAATTATAAAAATAAAATGCACTTAATCTTGATAGAAGACTCAGAAATTGTGCTTGTTTCTGAATATAATAATGTAGGTTTGAAGAAACTGTCAAGTTTTCTCTGAACAGACATCTGCCTTCCTAAATACCATGTATTTTTTAAAGTATGTACGCATTTTTCATATTTCGATCCGAATTGACTGCAACCGCATTAGCGTGAGTTTACTGTACAGACATTTCGGTACACAAAATTTTCACTTTGTACATACCACCACACTAGGAAGATGTTTACAAAACTTATGTTTGTTTGAGTTTTTATACTGACTGCTGGCGAGAGCGTCTTCATTGTGATAGCTTCAAGCAATTTTATGTTGACAGTGACCCCGGCCTGCAGAAGATGACGTCCACTTACGATGGACTTCTGATGACGGGGAAAAAATATGGAACAGCAGGCCTGCTGCGACATGAAATTGAAAACTTGTCGTAAAAACAGGCCGTTTCTTGCAGAGATCTTAGAATAAGTGAAGCTTGGAAACATGTGTCAATAATGCATGATACTGAAACTGTGTGTACACTGTTCTGTTGCGTATCTATGAAGGAAGAAAAGTGAAAACTGGACGAGGTTAAAGAATGAAGATTCATTCGCTTTTGGACCCTTGGGCGACGTAAGGTATTCTCAAGACACGTCGCAGTAAGTGTACTAATGGGAAACTGTAAAATGTTGATCGACTACTACTGAAAAGAAGTTGAAAACTGCAACGATCTATTAATAATAGAGAAATTCACAGTACAACGTTTCACTGATGGTTCTGAACAATGTTCTATGTGAGACGCATTACTAACAAAATCCTCTCAGAGAAGTTGTTTGATAGCAATCCAAGCTATGAAATTTGCAAAGGGCTAGATTAATAAACCGAGGCCCCTGCATGCAGGCGAAGACATTTACTGAAGAGGCTGAATCACGAGACCGTTCTGGCTGGTGCCGACAAAGCTACTGTGATTCTTCGATTACTTCAAGTACTGCATGAACGCTTAGGTAGCGAATTTCCAGAGCGGTACGCATTTTATCACATTCCAATCCCGAAGATAATTGATTCTAAATCTGGAAAAGACGGCGTTACGCGACTGATAAAGACATATTTCACGTTTTAATTATGAAATTTCAAATTTGTGGTTCTCAAAAAGTCGGTAACGGCTCAATTCCAGCACTCACTGATTTGATGAGCCATATTCTCAGCCGAATAATTTCAAGAGATGTCCATCCATCTAAAATTTCCACTGGTCCCTATACTACGCCAGCTCAATCCAGTCCATATCACCCCAGCCTACTTCTCAAAGTTCCATTTTAATATTATCCTCCCACCTACGTGTTTAAGCAGTCTTACTAAATTTAATATGCAGATTAATACATGTTAACTGAAAAGCACGAATGTACGTTTTAATGGCAAATAAACGTACTGAGAAAGGAATCCGCATGACTTCTGTTCCAACCGATCAGGCAGCACAGAACACTGCCAGGAACTGTTATAATTTCTCAGGTTACGCAAACATTTAAAACGTCTGAAGCCCAACGTAAGTAAGTCATTACAACCTACTAAATTCTTAATATGCCATCTTAAGTTGCTCGAGATGTAGACATGTTATGTAAAGGTCAGAAATCGCAATAAAAGCGACGCGATCTACTGATTACAGCATCTAAACATGGGGAGCTCAAGAGGATGACTTGGTTCGCTGCCTTAGCTAAATGTGCAATTCAACTGACAAGTCACAGAATCCCTCTGGTAACAGCATCTTCTGGCATGTACAGAGATGAGTCAAGTCCTAATGCCAGTTAGCTTACAGCCGCACAGCACCGCCCATGTAGGACTACACAGTGGGTCGGCCGTTCATCTCTCAATCTTCTTTCTCTCTATCGATCCACTTATGAGTTCATGATAATAAAATTACAACCCCTCACTTCCGTCTCGATGACAACGGACCGTCCCAAGGAGCACCGTCCCTTTTATCGCTTCCTTACTGAGTTCAGCCACCTTTTTGTGTCTCTTTTCTAACTGCGATATACGCCAGGATCTCTAAAGGAATCAACAGACCGGACCGATGTTTTCCAATGGAATACACGTGCCTTCCGAATTCGTTCGCTGCTGCTTCGCGTATATAA